GGAAGGGAAGATTAGAGATAGGTCTGTAGTTAGCCAACACCTCTGGAGCAAGAGTAGGTTTCTTAAGAAGAGGTTTAATTACAGCTACCTTGAAGGACTGTGGTACATGTCCTGTCAACAAAGACAGATTCATAATATCTAATAAGGATGTGCTAACTAAAGGAAAAACTTCCTTAAGCAGTTTGGTCGGAATCGGATCCAAGAGACAAGTAGAAGATTTAGACTTTGAAAATAAAGAAGTCAGTTGATCAAGGTTGATGGAAGAGAAGGCATCCAAACAGGCATCAGGGCCCACTGCTGCATCCAAGGAGGACAGGTCGGCACTGGTTGAAGGCAGGAGACCATCAATTTTCTCTTTGATAGTCAGAATCTTATCATTGAAGAAGTTCATGAAGTCGTTACTAGTGAGGTCCAAAGGAATACACGGCTCGACAGAGCTGTGACTCTCTGTCAGTCGGGCTACAGTGCTGAAGAGAAACCTGGAGTTGTTTTTATTTTTCTCTATTAATGATGAGTAATAAGATGCTCTTGCGTTACGGAGAGCCTTCTTATACGTTTTAAGGCTGTCTTGCCAAACTAGTCTAGATCCTTCTGATTTGGTGGAACGCCACAATCGTTCAAGCTTCCGCACAGTTTGCTTTAGGTTCCGTGTTTGAGGGTTATACCACGGAGCAGACTTCCTTCTTGTTGCTATTCTTCTTTCCAGAGGAGCAATAGCATCCAGCGCCACTCTCAAAGAGCCTGTAGCAGTATCGACAAAATTATCGATCTGAGACGGACTGAGGTTTTCACAGGAGTCTTCTTGTATCTTGAGGCAGGGCACTGAACTTAGAGCAGAAGGAATGGCTTCTTTAAATAAGGCTACAGCGGTATCCGATAAGCGTCGACTGTAGAAACCTTTGGCAGGAGGAGGTGGTTCTGATAGTAGAAATTCAAAGGTTATCAGACAATGGTCCGACAGGAGAGGGTTCTGTGGAAAAATTGTTAAATGTTCAATCTCAATCCCATACACAAGAACCAAGTCGAGAGTGTGGTTAAAACAGTGAGTTGGTTTATTTACACACTGACAGAAACCAATTGAATCTAACAATGAAAGAAATGCAGTACTAAGGCTGTCGTTGTCGACATCCACATGAATGTTAAAGTCACCCACAATAATTACCTTGTCCGTTTTAAGGACCAAACTCGTTAAGAACTGTGAAAATTCAGAAAGAAATTCTGAATAAGGACCTGGGGCCCTGTACACTATTACAAAGAGAACCGGCTGGATTATTTTCCAGGTCGGTTGCGAAAGACTGAAAACCAGGCTTTCAAATGAGTTATAATCCACCTTAGGTTTAAAGTTTATTAAAAGGCAGGAGTCATAAATAGCTGCCACTCCCCCCCCTCGGCCTGTGCCTCGGGGAATATGAGTATTAACATGACTCGGAGGAGTCGCTTCATTTAAACAGAAATATTCCCCATTCAACAACCACGTTTCAGTAAGACAAAATACATCAACATGGTGATCTGATATTAGTTCATTTACCAAAACAGCTTTAGATGACAGAGATCTGATATTCAAAAGACCCCCTTTAATTCTCCTATTTTGTTGCACTATTGCATTATTAGTTTTAACTTTAATTAAGTTATTTACTACAACTCCTCGGTTGTTTACCTTTAACTTAGATAAGTGTGTCCGTGGGGCAGACAAGGTCTCTATAGGGTTCATTATGCTGAGTGACTGCTCAGATTGAAGCGCAGAGAGGTGTGTAAGACTGCGACTCTGCTCCCTGGTCTGAACTCTGGGTCATGGATTAAGTCCACTAAGAAACTGGGTCAGGTTCTTAGAAAGAAGTTCAGCTCCGTCCAAAGTGGGATGGATGCCGTCCCTCCTAATCAGACCAGGCTCTCCCCAAAACGTCTTCCAGTGATCAACGAAGCCCACATTATTTACTGGGCACCACCTCGACAACCAGCGGCGGAATGACGACATGCGGCTATACATGTCGTCACTTGTCAAGTTTGGGAGGGGGCCAGAGAAAACTACGGTGTCCGACATTGTTTTAGCGTATGTACACACCGATTCCACATTAACTTTAGTGACCTCCGAGCAACGTAATCTGGAGTCATTACCGCCGACATGTATTACAATCTTACTGTATTTACGTTTATCCTTAGCCAGCAGTTTAAGATAAGACTCAATGTCGCCCGCTCTGGCTCCCGGTATACATGTAACTATGGTCCCTGGTTTCGCTAACTTCACGTTCCTCAGAATGGAGCTACCTATCACCAGAGTTGGCTTCTCAGCGGGTGTGTCGCCGAGTGGGGAGAAGCGGTTTGAAACGTGAAGTGCTGGTGGTTAACCGTGTGCTTCGACTTAGACTTATGCTTACTCCGGACAGTCACCCAGCCTCCCGACTGCTCGGGGTTTGCCGGGGACGCCTAGCAGGAGCGACCGCTACGTTCTATGTGGCCCGCACCGGCTCACGGGGTGGCCGGGTAACTACAGGCGGCTAACGACTGAGCTTTCCATGGTGCGGAGCCGTGCTTCAAGCTCACTAAGCCTCGCCTCCAATTTATCAAATATACTACACTTCTTACATGTACCGTTATCGGTAAGGGAGGCAGAGGAATAGCTAAACATGTGACACACCGAGCAAGAAAGAGCAGGGAGAGGCAGGGAGGGAAGACATCACCAGGTTAGCTGCTAAGCTAATGCTAACGCTAATAGAAGTAACGTTGCCGCTAAACAACGTCCAAGCAACTATTCGATGGAGCGAAAATTTGCTAGACGGTGAGGCGTTTAACAGCGCCTCACGTAGATAAGAATTCACCGTTGTGATGAAAAATATCACGCTACATTCAACTCAGTATAGCTAGAGCTGTGAAAAGTTCGATGACATCAAACACGCTGGTAACAGGAAGTGACGCAACACGCTTACCGTAACGCAACACGCTTCCAGGTGGTAGGAAGCAGCAACAGCTGGTCGGAGTCCGCCGAACAGCTGACGCTGTCAGAGCCGCCAACGCACGGGAGCACCGGCCGGATCCATCGAGTTCCAATCCTCCTCGGTCGCAGGGCAGGGGAAACATCCAATCAGCGCCTTGCGGCTGCAGCAGCAGCCAATCAGGATCCAGGAGGTGTGTAAACATACACGCTGTGGATCAGCCCAGTGGTCCTCAACCTTTCTTACCTCACGGACCGGTTTCATGTCAGAAAATATTTAGCGGACCGGTCGAGAAGGTCCGACGGGGGGGGGTAGTAGTCGTTGCGGGCGGAACGACCGACGGGGAGGGGTAGTAGTCGCGCACTCTTTGTTCGCTCGGAGCACAGAGGAGCCATGAACCTCAGAACACGCGTTCTGGGGTTCATGGCTCCTCTGTGCAAGGCAGGACCTGACGTGGAGGACAAGGAGGCCCTCTGGGCACTACTGTGAAAAGGAGACTCCGTATGTAGATAGTTCTTAATCTGCAATTGTCTTGTTATGTTGTGTTGACATACTTTTCTTCACTGTTTTCTTAGATTTAATAAACTACAAACTACTAACACATGTATTCATTGTCATTGATTGTATATGACTTTTACTGATAACATAATGCAATATAGCCAGGACAGCCTTACAGAGTCCCAACGCTTTGTGTTGCGTTGCTTCGCATCGCGTCGAGGTCTGTATGATCACAAAATTCAGAGTTTACCCACCTCTAATTTTACCACTACAGCACTGGGTGAAATGGAGTGGGGAACGCCTCAGAAAAGCCGGGATTTCTTCGTGGCATTGAGAAAAGTACACCAATGGATCATACTTCAGCTGATCGTAGAAGCCTCCTATCTGAAGCAGAGTCTGACGATCATAAGTGAGGAGAGATGATACCTCATGACAGAACAGGTAAATCCCTAAACACATAGCAAACACAGAGCAGAGGGACAGATGGCCAGCCGAGCAGCATGGCGCCATCTTGAATGTCAATTGAGTTGTGACATGGGGCAGTAAAACACCCAGTTGCCCGTGCCGAAAAGCTGCCGGGAAATGACTGGTTAACTGGAGGCCTTTATCAGTGGGTATAACTTAACAAAAAACTGTTACTTAAATAAGGCATTCATATTCAAACTTGAAATAGCAGTTTTTCAAACAAAGAACTTTGGGAGCAGTTACACTTAAACTGTTCAACCCATAACATGTAATCTCCCTCAAATCCGCCTCTGAGGTGGGATCAGGGTAATCCTGATTTTTAGGATCAAACTGATCCAGATTTCCCACTAGTTTTGAAACTCAACAGCAGTGTTTTATATAATATATAATCTCTACAGTATCTCTTACTTCAGAAAGCAGCAAATCATACAGGAGAGAGAGCGCGTTGGGATAACTCAAATAATGTTTGGTCTTAGTCACAGTAGCTGAAGCATTGTTGCTTTAGAACGCCACAGAGTGTGTGACCTCCCAGCAGAGAAGCCTGGATAAGTAACTAGTGTGTGTTATCTCAACCAGACGGAGACGCAGACCTTGGAGAAGCCTTGACGCATGTCTCGTGTGTATATGTCATGAATTGGGAGACTAAGACGCAGACCTTCCACCTTCAAGCATAACGTGTGTGTGTTACCTCAAGGGGAGGCACATGGAATCACAACCACACACAAACATCCGGAGCATTTATTGAACAGCAGGACAAAGGTACAAAAAGGGGGAAATGGAGCAACTTCATTCCACCTTCATCTACAAAACAAGAAGTGATTCAGAGCATCACTGTTCAACTCCCACGAAACCAAGAAGGAAAACGTCCCTTGATCCAAAACAGCAGCAAGAAAGTCAATAACATTTCAATCAGTGTGCTCGGATGATTCAAACCCAAATTTTAATAATATCATACTTGATAAATTGAGCAAAAGACATTATGAACCAATAAAAATAGTCTGATTTATTTAGAAAACCCTAAATGACAAATGATTATATCTTAAACCTGTTAAATTCAATCTAATCCAAAGAAAAACACAAGCAAATAATTTACACAACCAGGAAATGTCTATATTTTGTGTGTGTGTGTGTGTGCGTGTATTTACACGTTTGTTACCAACAATGATTCAACCCAAACAGCAGAAGTATTAAAGAGTAAATATGGTGGATTTGTTTGAGATGAACACACTAGTCTGTGAGCACTTTGATGCTTTTATTGATTTGAACGTCTCCTAAAATAATCCTCCTCGTTTTATTTCATTTCAACCTTTTTATTAAAACCAAACTATACAAATAATTAAATGTGACTATTGATGTTTCTTCAGTTTCCAGATGTTCACCAACCCTGATTCAGACTTTTAAATGAAAGATGAGCCATAAATTGACAGTTTATGGAGAAAAATGTGGAGCATCGCTTGTTGATTCAGAGCAATATTCACCCATAAACCTAAAGAGAGAAACAAATACATAAAAGAGAAAACTAAATCATTTACCACAAACTACTTTGACTCCATTTTGATAAACATGTGTTAGTGAGTTCCTAGAAGTTAATGTAAGAGCTTTGACTATCAGACTTTATCTGAGGAGCTGAAGTGAAGCTTTCTGTGTCTTTCTCTTAATAATCTCACGTCTCACGGAACCAAACTGCACCTTTGTTGTAGAAAAAGTCAAAGACTTCTTTACATGAGAAGCTCCTTGTGCTCATACTGAGGGCAGCTTTGTGGAACAGCAGCTGTGAATAGTTCATGTTAGGATTAGGAAACATTTATTAGCCAAAATATGTCAAACATACAAGGAATTTGTCTTGGCGGTTAGTGCGCGACAGTAGACAGACAAGACAACAGTGCACAAGTGATAAAATAAAGTGGAATGAAATGCTAATGCAATGGGTTAGTAGAATAAGGCTAAGGCTATGGGTTAGTATAAAACAAGGGAATTAAAAAATGTTAAATATTTAAAAAGTTAAAAAGAAAAATATTAAGCATAAAGTGCACTAACGAACAAGTAACAGACAAGAGACAAAGTGACAAGTGACGACAAAGTGCTGAATTGCAGTTAAAGTGGCATGTGCAGTGTGAAGGGGAGTGAACGGTGGAATGTTATAGTCAGTCAGTGGCGGACCGGGCTCTGTTGATGAGCCCGACTGCCGACGGGAAGAAACTGTGTGGCGGGAGGTCTTAGTCCTGATTGACCTCAGCCTCCTCCCAGATGGAAGGGGCACAAACATTTTTTGTCTGGGGTGGGAGGGGTCGGCCGCGATCTTTTTAGCTCGCTTCAGAGACCTGGAAGCGAACAAGTCCTGCAGGGACGGCAGATTGCAGCCGATCACCCTCTCTGCAGAGCGGATGACCCACTGAAGCCTGCCCTTGTCCTTGGCTATGCCTGCAGCGTACCAGACGGTGATGGAGGAGCAGAGGATGGACTCGATGATGGCCGTGTAGAAGTGGACCATCATCGTCTTTGGCAGGTTGAATTTCTTCAGCTGCCTCAGGAAGAACAACCTCTGCTGAGCCTTCTTGGTGATGGAGCTGATGTTCAGCTCCCACTTGAGGTCCTGGGTGATGATGGAGCCCAGGAAACGGAAGGAATCCACAATAGTGACGGGGGAGTCACACAGGGTGATGGGGGGAGGGTGGGGCTCTGTTCCGCCGGAAATCCACAACCCATCTCCACTGTCTTTAGAGCGTTGAGCTCCAGGTTGTTCTGGCTGCACCACGACACCAGATGGTCAGACTCCCACCTGTAGGCGGACTCGTCCCCACCAGAGATTAGTCCAATGAGGGTGGTGTCATCCGCAAACTTCAGGAGCTTGACGGACTGGTGACTGGAGGTGCAGCTGTTGGTGTACAGGGAGAAGAGCAGAGGGGAAAGAACGCAGCCTTGGGGGGAACCGGTGCTGATGGTCTGAGAGGCTGAGACATGTTTCCCCAGCTTCACGTGCTGCTTCCTGTCAGACAGGAAGTCTGTGATCCACTTGCAGGTGGAGTCGGGCACGTGCAGCTGGGAGAGTTTGTCCTGCAGCAGAGACGGGATGATTGCGTTGAAAGCAGAGCTGAAGTCCACAAACAGGATCCTGGCGTAGGTTCCTGGGGAGTCCAGATGCTGGAGGATGTAGTGGAGGGCCATGTTGACAGCATCGTCCACAGACCTGTTGGCTCTGTAGGCGAACTGCAGGGGGTCCAGGAGGGGGTTGGTGAGGGACTTCAGGTGGGTCAGGACTAGCCGTCCAAAAGACTTCATGACTACAGAGGTCAGGGCGACGGACCTGTAGTCATTGAGTCCTGTGATCCTGGGCTTCTTGGGGACAGGGATGATGGTGGAGGCCTTGAAGCAGGCTGGTACGTGTCTCCAGGGAGGCGTTGAAGATGTCAGTGAACACCGGAGACAGCTGGTCAGCACAATGCTTCAGGGAGTGAGGGGAGACTGAGTCCGGACCGGCTGCCTTACGGGGATTTAGTCTTCTGGAAAGAGCCGGTTAACGTCTCTCTCCAGAATAGAGAGGGTCGTTGCTGGTGGGGGAGGGGAAGGTGATAATGATGAAGAGGCGTGAGCACCTGATGGGCTGGGGGAGGGAGGGGAGGGGGACTGCAGCAGGTTGGTGGAGCTGTGGGGGATGGGATCAGGACATTGTCTTTCAAATCTGCAGTAGAACTCATTGAGCTCGTCTGCCAGGTGGAGGTCATTCATGGAGTGGGGGGTTTTTGGCTTGTAGTTGGTGAGGTGTTTGAGGCCTCTCCAGACCGAAGCAGAGTCACTTGTTGAGAACTGTTGTTGGAGTTTCTCAGAGTACAGTCGTTTAGCATCTCTCACCGCCTTGCTAAACTTGTATTTTGCCTCTGTGTACAAGTCTTTGTCCCCACTCCTAAATGCCTGATCCTTTTGCAGGCGTAGTGTTCTGAGTTCCGCTGTAAACCAGGGTTTGTCGTTGTTGTAACTCACCCTGGTGCATGATGGTACACAGCTGTCCTCACAGAAGCCGATGTAGGAAGTTACAGGCTCTGTGAACTCATCCAGACTGTCAGTAGCAGTCCTGAAAACATCCCAGTCTGTGCAGTCAAAGCACGCCCGAAGATCCTCCAGCGCCTCACTGGTCCACTTCTTGAATTCCCTCACCACAGGTTTGCAGAGCTTTAGTTTCTGCCTGTATGCAGGAATCAGATGGACCATGACGTGGTCAGAGTGTCCCAGTGCAGCACGAGGGACGGCGTGATAAGCCCTGCTTACTGTGGCGTAACAGTGATCCAGCGTGTTCTCCTCTCTGGTGGGGCATTTAATAAACTGTCTGTATTTAGGAAGTTCATGGCTGAGATTTTCTTTGTTAAAGTCCCCGAGGACGATAATTAAAGAGTCCGGGTTGGTCCGCTCCACACGCCGTATCTGGTCGCCGAGTGTCCGCTGTGCCTTGTGCACGTTCCCCCCGGCGGCATGTAAACACCGACCAGGATGAATGAAGCGAACTCACGGGGGGAATGAAAGGGTTTGCAGTTGATGGAAAAAAGTTTACAGATCAGGAGAACAGCGTTGTAGGATCACCGTTACGTCGTTGCACCAGCTGTTGTTGAAGGAAAGGCAGATTCCTCCACCCTTTGTCTTGCCGGAGAGCTCCGTGTCGCGGTCCGCTCGGAGCAGCTGGAAGCCCGCCAGCTGGAGCGCGGAGTCCGATATCGATCCGCAGAGCCACGTCTCCGTGAAGCACAAGACGGAGGATGTAGAGAAGTCTCTGTCTCTCCTCATCAGCAGCTGAATTTCGTCCAGTTTGTTGCACAGTGAGCGCACGTTGGAGAGAAAGATGCCCGGCAGCGGAGTGCGAGAACCACGCCTGCGGAGTCTCACCAGCGAGCCGGCCCGTTTTCCTCTCCTACGGCGTCTCACCGCGTGACGAAAGGTGAGCGCACCTTTGACTATAATGTCCAGTAATTCCACGGAAGAAAGCAGGAAAGTTGGAAGTAACTCCGCTGGAGTTGTTCCACGGATCTCTGGTGAAAGAGCTCCGGGAATCGCAGCAGCAAACGTAATTAACAACAAAAACAACAAAAAACGAAGCGCACCGAAGCCCCGTGGCGGCCATCAACGGCACCATCTTGGAACACGATTCGAGCTACGTGGAGCTACTCACTGTGTGCAGGACGCCGACTTCAAAGGTTAGGATTCACTTCCTCAGAGAGCTCAAAGCCGTCAGAGGAAGAAAACGAAGAAGAAGAAGAAGGGCGGCGTTTGGCTGAAATAGAAAGAAATTAAAAATAAAATTTTACAGCTTCCTCCCAACAAATACAATCTCAGTTTTTAAACCTATTTCTTCCTCTAAAAGTTAAAATGACTTTCAACAACAGCCTGAAGAATGTGTAGAAACAACTAACTACGTTTAAGTGTCTCAAGTGCAAAACAATCACAGAATTGTCTAAAAGTAAAATGGCACTAAACAATGAATGCAGAATAAAAGCAAATATGGTTTTATAAGTGTGACTGGTGAAAGTTGCTTCAGTGTCTCATTCTGGATAAAAGCATCAACTCAAAGCCTAAAATCAAATGCTCCTCAACACTGTGTCTCTGATCGTCTCTCTCACCGTTCCTGTTTCTGTAAACCTTGAATCCAACCACAGCAGCGATGATGACGACAAGAACAGCCACAGCGATGATGATGATGATGATGATGGAGGTGGAGCCAGCAGGCTTCTCTGTGGAGCACAAAACAATCAAAGAGTCTCAGGCTGAACAGATGAAGCAGGTCAGAAGAGAAGAAGATCCACTTATCCAGCAGACCTGAACACACACACCATGTGACGTCATTTCTTTATGACGTCTGCACATGATGTGTTATGACTGGGGTCATATGTCTAGTGTTTTGGGGTTTCCTTTTGTGTCTTTTTGTTTTCCCTTCATTCAAACAGGGATGTGCCACAACCAGGCGCGAATTGGTGGACGGTCTCCTACCCGTCCTGTGATTGGCTGCAGCCTGCATATAATGGAAGCAAAAGATGGCGTCCGAGGCAGAGCAGGCCAGATCGGGGAGAACAGCAGCAGCAGCACACAACCCTCGTCCTCCTCCTCTTCCAACCAGCCACATGTGTTATTCTGTGAATTCTAATAAGTATGCCGTTTTTCTTTTGAGTTGGTTTTCTCCTGTTTTTAAGTACATAGGTAGGTAAGACTGATGTCATTATTTTTCTCCTTTGTTTTGGTAGGTCAGCGTCTTATTTTTAGCTAGGATCGTTTTTTTGGTTTGTTTATACCCCAACATAACGGGTTTACTCAACCTAGCTCTTTTTTTCAATAAATATCCCCTATATGAACGCAAAGTGTGTGTGGCTACTTGGGAGACGGGGAAGATTGGGGCCTATCCATGTTGCACCTTAGGCACTCCCAGACTGGGGCGTAACATTAATTGGGGGCTCGTCCGTCTTCTTGTCTCGCCTCGTGTTGTTCTATGGAAGATTTTTTGTCTGGTTGGCAGTGATTTGGTGTGTGGGGGGAATTATGGAGTTTTCCCTGGATGAGTTTGTGGCTGGTCTATCTTTTGTTAAAATTGAAAAATGTAAGAAAAAGGACCTTTTGATGGTGGCAAACTGTTATAATGTGCAGGTGCCCTACAGTGCCAATAAGGCGGAGATCAAACGGTTGCTGTGTGCAGAGTTGGTGGAGCAGGGCGTCATACCTGTACCACCAATGGCAGACGGGAAAGCGGCGGGTGCTGCTGGCATGCTCGCTACGGGTGTAGGACTTGAGCCGGTCTTAGATCCTGTCATGGGTAACATGACCACAGAGGATCTCCGCATAGCCCTCCAAATAAAGAGGTAGAGACCAAAAACAGACAGCTAGAGGTGCAAGCAATGCATCTGCGCATCAGGGCTCTCGAACTGGAAAAGCGAGCCCCGGTAGTCTCCACCCCGATGTCTCCTCTTGACCGCAGTGCTATTTCTACACCGGCTTTTGACATTAGTAGGCACATTGCTTTAGTCCCTCCATTTCGTGAATCAGAGGTTGACTCATATTTTAACGCTTTTGAGCGGATAGCTGCTGCCCTCAGTTTGCCCAAAGAGTTTTGGTCCCTTCTCCAGTGTAAATTAGTGGGGAAAGCTCAAGAAGTCTGTCTATTGAGGACAGTCTTGACTATAAAATACTGAAAAAGACAGTGTTACAGGCCTACGAGCTGGTCCGGGAAGCATACAGACAAAAATGTAGGAATAGTGATAAAACCGCTAACCAGACTTATGTTGAGTTTGTGCGTGACAAGAGCATTCTGTTTGATAAATGGTGCCAGGCGTGTAATGTTAAAGACATGGCAGAAATCAGAGAGCTCATTTTGCTCGAGGAATTCAAAAAGTGTTTGCCGGAACGAATTGTGGTCTATTTGAACGAACAAAAAGAATCATCTGTAACGAAAGCGGCTGTTCTGGCTGATGAGTTCATTCTAACTCATAAAAGTGTTTTTTCTATGCCGGCGCCTCGCATTTCTCAAGTAATGCCTGAGCGCAGAGTTCGGTCGCCAAAGATGATGCGTAAAAGCATCTCACCAACAGCGGGTGAGGGCCGTGAGTGTTTCTATTGCCATGAGCCAGGCCATTTGATCGCGGTTTGTCCGATTCTTAGGAAAAAAGGACCACACAAAGGTACTAAACCTCCTGCCAGTGTGGGTTTCATAAACACCGTGTCACCACCGGTAAAACATACTGAGCTGTTACCTGAAGAAAAATACGCGGAGGTTGACCCTCGTTTCAAGCCGTTCGTATCTCACGGGTTTGTTTCTTTAACTGCCGAGGAATCGGAATATGTGCCGGTAACTATTCTTCGAGATACAGCCGCCTATCATTCATTCATGCTGGCTAACGAAACGTTGTGTTCTTCTGATTTGCTAGTGTGGGGAATCAAAATGAGTGAACGTCATGCCCCACTGCACATGATTCACTTACATTCAGCGCTTGTGTCGGGACAGGTGAAAGTTGCCGTGCTCCCACAGTTTCCGATTAGTGGCGTTTCATTTATTTTGGGTAACGATTTGGCCGGAGGAAAGGTGTTTCCTCTGCCCAAAGTAGTTAATGACCCAATTTCGTTGGTGTCTGCTTGCTGTTCAACCTTTGCCTCTTCTGCTGTGTCTGTGCCATATCGGTTTTCAGTGTGCGCAATTACGCGTGCACAGACTCGTAAATTGGGTGAAAATGTGGATTTGTCTGAGTCATTTATGGCTACGCTAGTTGAGGGTGAGCCCACCTGTTCAGTGTCATCCGATGAGTGTGAAAATGTATTAAAATGCATCAATGAGTTTGATCTATTTCCTGCTGACACAGACCTAAGTTTAAATGTGACCCGAGAAATGTTGACTAAAGCCCAGATGAGTGATCCGTCTCTAACTTTGTGTCTGTCCTCTGTTGTAGCCGCCGAGGAAGACAGCAAACCAGTTCGTTTTTTTTTGGACAACGGTGTCTTGATGAGACGGTGGAGTCCCGACTCCAGTGAGATGTGCGCTGTAAATCAGGTGGTTGTGCCAACCGACTACCGAGCGCAAATTTTGAGTCTGGCACATGACTCCAGCTTAGCTGGCCACCTGGGTGTTAAAAAGACGTACCATCGTGTGTTGCGCAATTTCTTTTGGCCCGGATTAAAAACTGACGTTACGAAGTATTGCCGCACCTGTCACACATGTCAAGTTGTGGGAAAGCCCAACCAACCTGTTCCGCCGGCTCCTGTGCATCCGATCCCGGTGCTTGGTGAGCCGTTTGAACGAGTGTTGATAGATTGTGTGGGGCCATTACCCAGAACTAAATCTGGACATCAGTATATTCTAACGGTGATGTGCGCCGCGACGAGGTATCCTGAAGCTATTCCCCTGCGCACTCTCAGAAGCAAAACCAGTCGTGAAAGCTCTCACTAAATTCTTTCTTAATGTTTGGCTTGCCTAAAACTGTCCAGAGTGACCAGGGCACGAATTTCATGTCCAAACTGTTCGCACAAGTAATGAGAGCGCTAAAAGTTAAACATGTAACATCAAGTCCTTACCACCCGGAGTCTCAAGGCGCACTTGAGAGGTTCCACCAAACCCTAAAATCTATGTTGCGTAAGTATTGTCTTAAGTCTAACCGAGAGTGGGATGAAGGTCTCCCTCTCCTGTTATTTGTGGTGCGTGAAACTCCTCAGCAGTCTTTGGGGTTCAGTCCTTGTGATTTGGTCTTTGGCCATACTGTCCGCGGTCCCCTTCGGCTACTTAAAGTGGTTAGCAGAGTCGCCAAAAACTGAACATAAGCTGCTAGATTATGTCAGTTCCTTTCGTGAGCGTCTTAATTATGTGTGTCAGTTAGCCCGTGACAACTTGTCACAAAGTCAAGCTAAAATGAAGAGTCGTTATGACAAAAAGTCTGTCCTCCGTGTCTTCCAACCAGGTGACAAGGTTTTGGTGCTTCTTCCGTTGCCGGGATCCAGTTTGCATGCTCGGTTTTCGGGTCCGTACACGGTGGAGAGGAAAATTAGTGACACTGACTACGTTGTTCAAACTCCAGATCGGAAAAGAAAATCTAGAGTGTGCCATATTAACATGTTGAAACGTTATTTTTCCGGAGTGAGTGAATCCCCGCTGTCTCTTGCTGCGCCCGTGATGTCCGTGTCCGCTACTCCTCCTCAGTACCACCTAGCCGATGATGGGTTGGCAGAGAAAAGTGGTTTGATGCCGGCCGCGCGTTTGAGAAATTCAGAGGTACTGAGTAATTTGGAGGTTTTTTTGTCCCATCTGTCTGACTCAGCTCTTGCAGATGTTAGGGATTTGATAGAGGATAACCTGTTGCTTTTCTCTGACCATCCTAGGCAAACGTCTGTCCTGTTCCATGACATTGACGTGGAGGGTCACAAACCCATTAAGCAACATGCGTATCGCGTAAATCCGGCCAAAAGGGCTATGATGCAGCAGGAGGTGAGCTATCTGGTTGAGCATGGATTAGCTGTTCCCAGTACTAGTGTGTGGAGCTCACCCTGTGTCTTGGTTCCGAAACCCGACCACACTCCTCGTTTCTGTAACGATTACCGAAAAGTAAATTCAGTCACAAAACCGGATTCCTTTCCGCTCCCCAGAATGGAAGATTGCATAGATCGTGTAGGCTCCGCTAAATATGTGACAACGCTGGACCTGTTAAAAGGTTACTGGCAAGTACAGTTAACGCGATGGGGAGAAATTTCAGCTTTCGTCACACCCGATTCTTTCCTCCAGTACACTGTTATGCCATTCGGGCTGCGTAATGCACCCGCTACTTTCCAACGGTTGATGCGTATCGTGTTATATGGTATAGAAAATTGCGAAGCTTACTTAGATGATGTCGTTGCTTACTCCTCCACCTGGGCCGACCATCTCCACACATTGTCCCTCATTTTCAGTCGTCTCCGTGAGGCCTCACTCACACGCCTCATTTGGTAGGGCCACTGTTACCTATTTAGGTAAACAGGTAGGTCAGGGGCAGGTGCGTCCTTTGGCTGAAAAAGTGCAGGCGATTATGGATTTCCCGGTCCCACCGTCCAAGAAATAGTTGCGCCGTTTCCTTGGAATGTGTGGGTATTATCAGGGTTTTTGTCAACTTTTTGGACGTTGTTGCTCCTCTCACAGGACTTGTGAGTCCTTTAAAATCGTATATTTGGTCCCCTGCCTGTCAAGCTGCCTTCGAGTCGGCCAAGGCATTACTGTGCACCAGTTCTCGTGGCGCCCTGTTTTACGCGACCCTTTAAGTTAGAGGTTGACGCCAGTGCGTCTGGCGCAGGGGCTGTCCTCTTGCAGGAGGACAGTCAGTCCATTGATCATCCTGTTTCTTACTTCTCAAAAAAGTTTAATAAGCACCAGCTTAATTACAGTACCATTGAGAAGAAAGCTCTTTCGCTATTGTTAGCCTTACAATATTTCGAAGTTTACCTCGGGTCTAGTTCACAGCCTGTCTCAGTATTCACCGATCATAACCCATTGGTATTTCTGGCTCACATGCAAAACTCTAACCAGCGGCTGATGCGCTGGTCTCTCCTTCTGCAGGATTTTAACCTGCAGATCCGCCACAAAAAGGATATGGAGAATGTAATCACAGACGCCTTATCTAGGTGCTCAGCTTTATAGGAAGTAAACCCTCTAGGGGAAGGTTTACTTCTTGGGTGTGGGGGTGTTATGACTGGGGTCATATGTCTAGTGTTTTTGGGTTTCCTTTTGTGTCTTTTTGTTTTCCCTTCATTCAAACAGGGATGTGCCACAACCAGGCGCGGATTGGTGGACGGTCTCCTACCCGTCCTGTGATTGGCTGCAGCCTGCATATAAGGGAAGCAAAGATGGCGTCCGAGGCAGAGCAGGCCAGATCGGGGAGAACAGCAGCAGCACACAACCCTCGTCCTCCCCCTCTTCCAACCAGCCACATGTGTTATTCTGTGAAGCCTAATAAGTATGCCGTTTTTCTTTTGAGTTGGTTTTCTCCTGTTTTAAAGTAGTTAGGTTGGTAAGACTGATGTCATTATTTTTCTCCTTTGTTTTGGTAGGTCAGCGTCTTATTTTTAGCTAGGATCGTTTTTTTGGTTTGTTTGTTATCTTGGGGATGGGCAACGGCGAAGCCGTGGTTTGTTTTTACCCCAACATACCGGGTTTACTCAACCTAGCTCTTTTTTTCAATAAATATCCCCTATATAAACGCGAAGTGTGTGTGGCTACTTGGGAGACGGGGAAGATTGGGGCCTATCCATGTTGCACCTTAGGCACCCCTAGACTGGGGCGTAACATGATGACAGACACATATTCAACCTCCTTCCTGAACTTTACTCTGTCTGATTCACTGATGGATACATGTATTAATACACGTGTTTAATCATTCTGTCTACTCATCTTTAAGTGACCAGTAGTTGTGTGAATGCAGATTCTACATTACATTACAGGTCATTTAGCAGACGCTTTTATCCAAAGCGACGTACATTACACTTTTAACCCATGGCTTTTTCACATTTTTGCCCAGGGAGCAATTAGGGGTTAGGTGTCTTGCTCAGGGACACTTCGACATGGTACATGGGGCAGCCTGGAATCGAACCACCAACCTTGTGCTTCCCAGCACACCTTCTCTAACCCCTGCGCCTACAACGTCTGAATTGTGGTGACACGTTACAATAGTTCAGCACCGACTCAAATAAAGCTCTTACCTGGAATGAGTTTACAAAAGGATGAATAAACTTATTTACAGAGAAATGAACCAAATATTGACACATTTATATATTAATCTAGACCAGCGGTTCCCAAACTCAAGAATGCCGTGGCCCACTTTGAAATCTTTCGTGGCCCACCCAAACCTTTAATCACAACTCTGATCAAAACATAAACTAGGGATGATTAAATGGCCGTAAGAATTTAACAAAAATCAAACATCCGCGAGCAAAAGTTTGTCTCCGCGAGGTATTTGCTCACTTGCGAAACGTGAACTCTGCTCGCGCTCGAAGGAGTTTTCTACTCGCTTGGTGTTGTTCTTTCTGACAGTAAGGTGGAGAGGGTGCTTTCAGGGTCCGATCGATGCCGCGAGGTGCGTCCGCTCCCGCCGCCCCCCTCGCCATCCACGTCTTAAAGCTTCGGCTGCTTTTAGAATCGCTTATTTTCCCCGTTAAGATGGTTCAGCTACTGTAGAGAAAAGGACGCCGTCTCTCGCTCTTTAATCTCATGAAGTGCTCGGCAAGAACGACCGCTTTGTTTCTCCGACGCGCCCTGAAACAAGCTCCATATCTCACGCGCTTGAGCGCCGCTCAGCATCTCGCCGTCGTAGACGAGCTTTGGCGTGTTTGGCAGAGCGCCTTGAGCGGCGTGTACAACCAGTATGGATCAACCGATTAACCAATTGATCCATATGTATAAGGCGCTCGGGATTATAAGGCATTGTCGTTTTTTGAGGAAATTAAAGGCTTTTAAGTGCGCCTTGGAGTGCGGAAAATGAGGTATATTTGCTTTAATACCACAAGAGGGCGCCCCGTTTGTTGAACAACGATAGGCGGACAAGAGCAGCCGTTTCGAGCGAGAGCCTTATTGTTTTATTAATCTGTCCGTTTAAATTGTTTGTGCTTAATCAACTAATGTTTCACATAATTAATGTGCCGCATCATAAATATTTTCATATTCATTTCAAACTTTTAAAAATTGAAAATAAAATTACTTTATTTATTGTAAATGACCTCTTGCGGCCCACCTGCAGTACCTTCGCGGCCGCAGCCCACACTTTGGGAATCCCTGATCTAGACCAGTAAACAGTGTTCATAACTCTCGCTGTGTTTAATTCTGATCCGAGTCTTAAAATGACTACAAATAAAAACTAGACTAGAAATGTAAGAAAACAAAACTTCCCAAATCTAAAACACACAAAGTGAACAAAGTGGATGTTTGCTTCCCTCCTTCACCGCTCCGGGTCTCAGACCTACCCCTGTTGGTCCTGGTCTTGTTCAGTTTGGTGACGATGTTCTCGTCCACACCAGACAGCTGGAACACACAGTCGTACCTCCTCCAGTCTTCAGCAGGGACGGAGGACAGTTTCAGGTCAACCCTCATCTGGAAGGTCCCGTCGTGGTTGGGGAGGATCTCTCCGAGGTCCACGTCCTCATGGAGCTGCTCTCCATCTTTGCTCCAGAAGAGGTCGGCTCTGTCGGGGTAGAAACCTGTAGCGTGGCAGCTGACTGGAGAGGAGGGAGTCTTCTGGAGGAGAGACACCGAGGGACGCTCTGGAGACGGAAGACAGGGACAGGTTATATCTTTATTATTATGATTGATATTTAATGTATCAATCATTCATCTTTAATGTAATGTATTTAAAGTTTCATTGATTAAAGAAGGGAGACAAACAGATGAAGTGGGGTGAGACAGGTTGGAAGGGGAGGACAGTGTGTGAGAGAAGTAATGGGACAGTGAGACGGACAGAAACACAACAGAGACAAAGAGAGAATGGAGGGACAGAGTGGGACTGTGTCATCAGATTTTGAAAGAAAAACGTGATTGAGTTTCTAGCACTGAATATTCATGCATTGAAATCATGTATCTGAATGTTTTTCAATGTTAAAAAATTCAACTGCAAAAAATTCAACCGCAAATAATTCAACGTTAAAATATTCAACTGCAAAAAATTAAACTGCAAGCAATTCAACCGCAAAAAAATCAACCTCAAAAAATTCAACCGCAAAAATTCAACCGCAAAAAATTCAACCACAACGTCCGGGAACCCAAGGAAGAGAAATCGATTCTAGATTCAAGCTCGGGAGCGCCCGTAGTGCAATAGAAGCGAGCACCCCAATACAACTTCGGCTTGTCGACTATGATTACTGTGTTTCAGCCATGTCCATTAATAATAGGGCTACGTTGAGTGTTTTAACTTTATGCCATCAGCGATTCCGACTAAGCTGCTTAAGGAAGTTTTTCCTTTAGTTAGCACATCCTTATTAGATATTATGAATGTGTTTTTGTTGACAGGACATGTTCCACAGTCCTTCAAGGTAGCTGTAATTCAACCTCTTCTTAAGAAACCTACTCTTGCTCCAGAGGTGTTGGCTAACTACAGACCTATCTCTAATCTTCCCTTCTTCTCTAAGATCCTTGAGAAATCCGTCGCAAATCAATTATGTGACTTTCTACAAAACAATGCTTTGTTCGAGTGTTTCCAGTCAGGATTTGGAGCGCATCATAGTACAGAAACAGCCCTGGTGAAAATTACGAATGATCTTCTACTTGCATCGGGCCAAGGACTCATCTCTTTTCTTTTCTTGCTGGACCTCAGTGCCGCATTTGATACCAGAGACCATTGTATCCTGCTGCAGAGACTAGAACATTTAATTGGTATCAAAGGAACTGCACTCAGCTGGTTTAAATCCTACTTATCGGACCGATCCCAGTTTGTGCTTGTACACAACAAGGCACATGCTGGTGAGGCACCGTCGTATCTTAAAAAGCTTGTAACACCTTATTGCCCTACAAGGCAGCTGCGCTCCATAGATGCTGGGTTACTTGTTGTTCTTATGGTTTTAAAAAGTAGGCTGGGGGCCAGAGCCTTCAGTTATCAAGCTCCTCTTTTGTGGAGCCAGGTTCCACTTTCAGTCCGGGGGGCAGATTCGGTCAGCTCTTTTAAAGTAAAACTTAAAACGTTCCTCTTTGATTCTGCCTATAGTTAGGGCTGGCTCAGGTTAGCCCGGACCAGCCCTTAGTTAAGCTGCTATAGGCTTAGAATTCCGGGGGAATTCTTAGGACACACCGAGCTCCTGTCTCACGCTCTCGTTCTACCATAATTCACGTTTTATTACTGCACATGACTAATTCAGCTTCTTTCCGGGAGTTTTTTTTGTGCTTTCTCCCCTATCAGGTCTCCGTAGATTGTGGTTCCTTCGGGACCCTGGTCCTGACACCTACCGTGGCCATGCTGACACCTGCTGCTGCCATCATCATCATTGTCATCATCATTATGATTTTAGATATTAATCATATTACTGTACTCATAAACCAACATTACCCTCTCCTTAAGTCTCTGTGCTCTCCCTCCCCACAGGCTTCTGTGGATGGTGGTTCTATCTGATGGTGGTTGCCCCTGCAGTGGTCCTGCTGTGCGCCTGGCTTACTACTCACATTTACTTGAATAATTTCTCTCATAGGAATTGTATGTATTATACATTGTTCATTCTGTACACATGGCATCCATTGTATTTTCATTTTTTGGGGAGTTTTTCCTGTGCCAATGGTGGGTTTCGGGACAGAGGATGTCGTATGTGTACAGACTGTAAAGCCCAAAGGCAAATTTGTAACATGCGATTTTGGGCTATACAAAATAAAAATGAATTGAATTGAACCAGAGTGGTCTATGTTCAAAACCTCCATTGCTGAAGCCGCGGCGGTGAGTTGTGGCCTCAAGGTCTTAGGTGCATCAAGGGGCGGTAACCCTCGAACTCCGTGGTGGACACCGGTGGTCAGGGAAGCCGTCCGACTGAAGAAGGACGCCTTCCGGGTTATGATATCCGGTGGGACTCCAGAGGCAGTTGCAGTGTACCGACAGGCTCGAAGGGCAGCAGCCTCTGCCGTGATGGAGGCAAAGCAGCGAGTATGGGAGGAGTTCGGGGTAACTATGGAGAAGGACTTTCGGTCGGCACCAAAGTGTTTTTGGAAGACCATCCGGCACCTCAGGAGGGGGAAACGGGGAACCATCCAAGCTGTGTACAGTAAGGATGGGACCCTGTTGACCGCGACTGAGGAGGTTATCGGGCGGTGGAAGGAACACTTTGAGGAACTCCTGAACCCAACTACTGCGCCCTCTTTGGTGGAGGCGGAGCTGGAGGCGGAGGAGGGATCATCGTCAATTAGCCTGGTGGAAGTCACTGAGGTAGTCAAACAACTCCGCAGTGGCAAAGCCCCGGGGATTGATGAGATCCGTCCAGAGATGCTAAAAGCAATGGGTGTTGGGGGGTTGTCTTGGATGACACGCCTCTTCAACATTGCGTGGAAGTCTGGGACAGTGCCAAAAGAGTGGCAGATCGGGGTGGTGGTACCCCTCTTCAAAAAGGGGGACCAGAGAGTGTGTGCCAATTACAGGGGTATCACACTACTCAGCCTCCCGGGTAAAGTCTACTCTAAGGTGCTGGAAAGGAGGGTTCGGCCGATAGTCGATCCAAGGATTGAAGAGGAACAATGCGGTTTTCGTCCTGGTCGTGGAACAACGGACCAGCTCTTCACTCTTTCCAGGATCATAGAGGGGGCTTGGGAGTATGCTCAACCAGTCTACATGTGTTTTGTGGACTTGGAGAAGGCGTATGACCGGGTCCCCCGAGAGATACTGTGGGAGGTGCTGCGGGAGTACGGGGTAAGGGGGTCCTTGCTTGGGGCCATCCAATCCTTGTACGCCCAAAGCGAGAGCTGTGTTCGGGTGCTCGGCAGTAAGTCGAAGGCGTTTCCGGTGGGGGTTGGCCTTCGCCAGGGCTGCGCCTTGTCACCAATCTTGTTTGTGGTCTTCATGGACAGGATATCGAGGCGTAGTCGGGGGGAGGAGGGTCTACAGTTCGGGGGGCTGCGCATCTCATCGCTGCTTTTTGCAGATGATGTGGTCCTGATGGCATCTTCCGTCTGTGACCTCCAACTCTCACTGTAGCGTTTCGCAGTCGAGTGTGAAGCGGTCGGGATGAGGATTAGCACCTCTAAATCTGAGGCCATGGTTCTCAGCAGGAAACCGATGGATTGCCTACTCCAGGTAGGGAATGTGTCCTTACCCCAAGTGAAGGAGTTCAAGTACCTCGGGGTCTTGTTCACGAGTGAGGGGAAGATGGAGTGTGAGTTTGGCCGGAGAATCGGAGCAGCGGGGGCGGTATTGCACTCGCTTTACCGCACCGTTGTGACGAAAAGAGAGCTGAGCCGAAAGGCAAAGCTCTCGATCTACCGGTCAATCTTCGTTCCTACCCTCACCTATGGTCATGAAGGATGGGTCATGACCGAAAGAACTAGGTCACGGGTACAAGCGGCCGAAATGGGTTTCCTCAGGAGAGTGGCTGGCGTCTCCCTTAGGGATAGGGTGAGAAGCTCAGCCATTCGCGAGGAGCTCGGAGTAGAGCCGCTGCTCCTTTGCGTCGAAAGGAGCCAGTTGAGGTGGTTTGGGCATCTGGTGAGGATGCCCCCTGGGCGCCTCCCTAGGGAGGTGTTTCAGGCACGGCCAGCTGGGACGAGGCCCCGGGGAAGACCCAGGACTAGGTGGAGAGATTATATCTCTGCACTGGCCTGGGAACGCCTTGGGATCCCCCAGTCAGAGCTGGTAGATGTGGCCCGGGAAAGGGAAGTTTGGGGTCCCCTGCTGGAGCTGTTGCCCCCGCGACCCGACCCCGGATAAGCGGTTGAAGATGGATGGATGAATTGAAGCAGTGTGGTTTGTGTCTGTAAGATTCAGTAATTGACATTTAACATTTGTACATTAACAGAATGTATAGGACATGAACTAAGCGGAAGTTAAACGAGAGCGTACAGCTGGTCGGAATACGCATTTTCTTCTAGTTTTGAATTACGTTGATGATGCTGGGATGCTTCGACAAGCTATTAGGAGTGATTGGCGGAGTTACATTATGTTAATGTACAAATGTCAGCTGTCTATTACTGAATCTTACAGACACAAACCACACTAATGGCATAAAGTTAAAGTTAAAACACTCAACGAAGCCCTATTATTAATGGACATGGCTGAAACACGGTCATCATAGTCGACAAGCCGAAGTTGTATTGGGGCGCTCGCTTCTTTTGCACTACGCACGCTCTCGAGCTTGAATCTAGAATCGATTGCTCTTCCTTGGGTCCTGGATGTTGCGGTTGAATTTTTTTCAGTTGAAATTTTGCGGTTGAATTTTTTGCGGTTGAATTATTTGCAGTGGAATTTCTTGCAGTTGATTATTTTAACGTTGAATTATTTGCGGTTGAAGTTTTTGCAGTTTAATATTTTAACATTGAAAAACATTCTAGAAACATGATTTCGATGTATGATGTATAAATATTCAGTGCTAGAAATTCAATCACCTTTTTCTTTCACAATCCGATGACACAGATTTACTTCCATAGGGACAGGTGTGAGGGGGGAAGTGAGGGAGGGGATGCAGTGAAGGAGAGAAGGAGGTGAGGGGGGAGAAATGTGGGAGACACAGTGGGTCAACATGTCAGTGTGTCGCTGACATGTTGCTATGAAACAACAGAAGGTTTATGAGCATCGTGTCCATGGAAGGACATCAGGTCATGGGATCCTACCGGTTCTCATCAGAGAGCTCCTCCCGTACTTCAAGAGCGTCTTCAGCGACTCAGGACACTCATAAGTCAGGTAGTTCTTGTTCTGTGCTGTCCAAACTCTGTCCTGATCCCACTCCTGTTTGGTGAGAACAGCCTGCTGTTTTGCAGCGATCCATTGCTCTGTCTGCAGGTCAAATGATATGAAGTCTTCTCCATCATAACCGTACTGATAATAACCCTTGACCTTATTGGTCTCTTCATCCCATTCACAGCCGTACATGTTCTGGTAAATATGGACACCTAAGTGAGAAAGAGAGATTTTTTTTGATTTTTAGAAAACCTTTATCTTACATAAAAAATATCAATAAGACGACAATATAGCAGGTGTATAATATCAAATATATATAGCGAACTTCTCCGGAGAAGTAGTCATCCACCCTCACTCCTCTCTCGTTCTTGGTGGCCAGCAAGAACTCCTTCATCTGCCCCACTCCTAGGGTTGCCAACCGTCCCGAATTGTGCGGGACATCCCGATTTATGGATGATTTTGATATGTCCCGTTAGGGACAGCTCCAGTCCCGTATTCCAATCACAGCCAATATTTTTATTTATTTGTTTTTTATTTTTTTAGATGGCCAATAATAGGCTTCTTTTAACACGGCAAAAAACTCTTCGCAACGCGAACGTTGCTATGGGACACGGTTGTTGCTTGTTGGTGACAGTTTGTTAGAACTGGCCACTGGGAGGTGAGCGTTATCATGTGTCAAAATGAGCAGTGAACCTTCAAAGAAAAAAAGACTTTGCAGCTATAAAAAAGAATGGGAAGCCAAAATGTCATGGGTTAAAGCAGTCGCCAATGACGAGAGGAAAGCGTTTTGCACAGTATGCCGCCAAGGACTGTCCATTAGCCATGGCGCGCCCGCGGTGGGGGACCTTAAAGCCCCCCCCTCCTCCATATAGCACCTTGGACATCCCACCCACCAAAGAGCGTCCCCCCGAACTCTTTCACCTTCCTGTTTGGACTACCATCCCCTCATTCACTCTGTCACACACGAGACCTGCACGCTGGGCTACATTCAACCCCCCATCCACTCCGACATTCATTCCCTCACCCCCCTGACCGACCGGCTGGGCCTCACCCGTCCCCACACTCGCCCCCTCATCCAGACGGTTTTGTGTTTCAACAGCTCGCCGAGCAGCACTTCGCCCAGGATGAACGGCGGAATGTTCGATACCTTCACCCTGACAGCCGGCCACCACCTCGCGCGCCGACATGGCGACCGGCTACAAACACGGACAAACTAACACAGAAAGAGACAAAAGACACACATACACACCACCACGCATTCACACCACAACACACACCAGAACCACACCAAAAATAAACGAAAACGTTATCAAACAATACACCTCACGCTCCGTTCACTCAGAGAGGGATAAAATGTTGACATATTTGCTTGATAAAAGACTTCAGTCATCATCTGATTATCAACATTCATGTTGATTCATTTTCTGTTCATCAACTAATTGATTCAATGTTTCAACTCTAAATATCCTGAATGTTTGTTCTAAACTCACTCACTCGTCAGACGTCATCTGATAAAACCTGGAATGAAATACTGAAGCATCGACTCCCTGAGCTCAAGTAAAGCTCATCTAATCTAAGCTGGACTTCTAATCAGGATGAGAGGAAATCTTCTTCATCCTGAACAACACGGAAAAGTATTCATTGTGTTTATATACTTATATTTAGGAACTGGAAGCAGAAAATGTTTCAGTCAAGAAAAGATCTCAGACTGTTTAATTTACTGTGTGTGTGTGTGTGTGTGTGTTTATGTAATAACATAAACACACACACCCCCCCCCCCCCAAAAGATGCAATTACAAACAAAAGGTGTGAAAACAAAAACAACTCTCCAGGTTTGTTTGAAGCGTCGGTCTCACTGGTCTCATTGTCGTCTTTGAGGCCCCACTGGCAAACTCAAAGCGAGGTGGAGTCTCCCTTCAGGCAGAAACCGAGAATACCCCTTCTGTGAACTTCGCTCACCCAGCCCTGTCTGGGTTCTGCTCTCCCGGGAGTCACTGTCAAAGGGGCCACTCTTAACTTCACCCCACAGTTGATTTAGACACACCCTCTGGGAAGTGTGTGACTTCGAGAGGACTCAGTGAGGGAATACTTTAGAGAGTGAGTCACTGGAACCCAAAAGGAATCATTATCAGTTTGGATGTCACACTTTAATTAATGAATGATTATGTTGTTTTGTGGAAAAACTAAAGTATGAACAGATTGACACAGCATTTATATTTAGGAAACAATCTTAAACTCGTCATTTTTACCTCCATGGCTAGCAGAGCCGTACATCGGGAGATTAAATACCGACTCCTGCATTAATCCCATAAGGAGGTTTTGTCGCAGAGGCCAAGTGCGTCGTTTTAGGTCAGACAACAACACGAATCTAGCTGGATCAGAGCGAGCGTCAAAAGAGGCCTTAGCTACCATGGACCATAGCAGGATTCATATCACTCTCCTGCAGGAGAATTGACTGGACTTTTAACCCCCAAGCTGCTTTCCACCATTGCAGCGTTTGGGAGCGACTCATTAGAATGGTCAGGAAAATAATGTTTTCTGTGCTTCAAACATAATGACCTCCCCATAACTGAGGTTTCTGATGACGTCAATGACTTGGAAGCTCTCACTCAGTGCCTCTAGTTCAGTACCTGTCAGACCGGTTCTGGAAACGATTGACAAGGAAGTACTTGCCGCTACTGCAGGTACGACAAAGGTGGACAAAGCCGCAAAGAAGTTTGGTATCATAGGACATTGTCATTGTCATGGATCCAACTGCTCCTCGTGAGTTATGGATCATGGGAAGAAATACCAAGACAGGACAGTTGGAGCGGCCTATATGAACGATTGTTCTGCTTCAAGAAGCTTGGGTCATGTGTTGGTAACACCGGACGAAGAAAGAGGGACATTTTATTTTTTATTTGTTTATTTTTTAATTAATGTAATACTAATGCATACTTTTCCCAATTAGGGCCCGGTGTGCAGGAGCCATATGTGATATTTGTCTACAACACGGTACTGGGAGCCAATCTCAGGTTGGCCACAGGTGGCAGTGTGTATTATTGGGACAAAGACGCACAGCGAGATCAGGAACCAAATGTATATGCAATTGTGTTTTAAAACTAATAAACGGGATCTTCACCCAAAGAAAACGAAAGACCTGGAATCTCTGTGTGAGCAAGTGAGGAACAGGATCTTCTCCCGCACTCTGCAGAGTGGCTTACAAAAATCTGTCACTACACTATATATATAGATATATCGGTATCAGGTGGATGAATAGAATCCAAGAAGATTAGAATTTTATTTAAAATGATCAGCACAGTAAAATGTCTGAGTGTTTTGAATAATGTTTCATATTTATGAGTTTTTATTTCAGCACTGGTCACTAAAATGTTTGGTAAATCTGTTCGAGAATAAATATATTTTCTGTTAATACATCAAATACTGCAGAGAGATGCTGGATGTTTGAGGCTGATTCTAATTAACATAGTCTGAATATTAAATATTCTAGCTGATAGTATTTTTAATATAAACACATGACCTAAACTCACTTTAATTCAGATTGATAGTTTGTTGTTTTTAGTGACTGAGATACAAACAAAGATGAAAAATGAACTTTTGCTCTTCCGCTTTATTAATGAGCTCAGACTGAGTTTGACATTTCTTCACTTTTCTTTCTTCTCATTCATCAGAAAACATGTAAACACCAATATATCTGCGATAAGATAATATCTACAAGTAATATTGATGACTGATTCATCAGTCCAGCTTGACCAAACAGCATCACTGTGACGTCAGAGTAAGAGTGTCTGCAGCCTATGAAGACACGAAGCGTCTCTTCTTCTACAATCAAACACCTCATTAAACAAAGCGTCAACTCACGTGCTGCAGCGCCGTGAAGGCTCATCATCAGGAGAGACAGAACCGAGATCTCCGCCCCGACAAGTCGCATTTCAACGTCCGCTTGTTTCACCGGGAAGGAGAGAAGTAGTGATGAGATGTGCCGACGCTTCGACGCGTGTGTCGAGTAACTGAGGGGGCGTTTCCTCGAAGCGCGTATCGAGTCTCGCTTCATCTAGGGGAGGAGCCAGAATTGATGACGTCTGAAGGCTCGCAGCCCGGCTGTACCACGTGACTGCTTCGGGAAGTGGTTCGGATTTGGCCGGGAGGTTTGACAGCGATATTAACCCTTCAGGCTCCATTCAAAATGTGGGTTGTTGCTGGAGAGTTGTGGTCAGTTGAGAGTTTGGATAGTTTGGGTAGCGTTTTTATAGTTTGTAGAAGAGAGAGCGAGAGATAGTTTGGAGAGAGATAGTTTGGAGAATGAGGAGAGAAGGTTAGGTGAAAAGATGGCCAGCTAGGAAGAGGAGGAACCTTGTGTTGTTTTTGACCCTGCCCCTCCTCCCCGAAGTTTTTCATTAAAAGGATCATTCTTGTGTTATCTGACAAGTGTGTCTGTTCCTGCAATCTCGCCTCCACATCCGCGGGTTTGCCACATTTGGTGGAGGATGCCAGCAGTGGGGATCCGTTGCCAAAGACTCAGAACAAATAAGGTAGACGGAGAAAAAACGCAGCGCAATGGAGGACGCGCTAGCACAACTCGTAGACACTCAAACTCAGCAGGCCCAGAGCCTCAGAGCATTACAGCACTTGATGACAACTCTGGGGCAGCATCTGATGAGAACCCAACAGAACCAGATAAAGCGCTCACCAAGCAAACTGGAGAAGATGATATTGAGGCCTACCTAGAAGTATTTGGGAGAACTGCGGTGAGGGAGCGGTGGCCTAGAGCCCAGTGGGGAAGCGCAAAAAGCTTGCTGCGACCCCCCCAAGGAGAATAATTACAAGGCATTAAAAGCAGCCATTCTAGCCCACTATGGTCACAACCCCCAGACAAGGGCCCAACAGTTTCACGCTTGGTCCTATGATGCTACGGCCGCAGTGCGGCCGCAGGTTGCCACTCTCATGCGCCTAACCTGCAGCTGGTTTACTACGGGGGATGGGCCCCTGCCATGGAAAAGAGTTGTCATGGACCACTGTGTCCGTGCGTTACCAGGGGATGCAAAGCTGCATGCCTCCTAAAGCTGCCCAAAGATGGTGGATGACCTAGTGGAGGTACTGGAAAACCATCAAGGCACAGTGGAATGGATGCGAAGCAGCTGACCGGAGCCTTTACGACTCCACATTCCCTTGTGAATCAGGACCGCCGGAAGTGCTTCACCTGCGGTCAAGAAGGTCATCTTTCTTGATACTGCCTGGTAACTGATGTACTGATGCCAACGGCTGGTTCATCTGGTTCACAATAGAACGCCGCCAGATACCTCACCACCTCCTGGGCCCATGAGGGTACCCAAGACCCAAAACTCTATGGAGCATCTATGGAGCGCAGCTGCCTTGTAGGGCAATAAGGTGTTACAAGCTCTTTAAGATACGACGGTGCCTCACCAGCAAGTGCCTTGTAGGTGAGGAGAAGTACCCTAAAATCTATTTTACAGGGAGCCAGTGCAGAGAAGTTAATACAGGAGTGATATGATCCCTTTTCTTAGTTCTTGTTAATACACGTGCTGCAGCATTCTGAATCAACTGGAGAGGCATAAGAGATTTACAAGAGCAGCCTGCACTGCATAAAAAGTGAGATTTCGTCCCCGTAAACGCCCAGAAATCTCCCTAATTTCCGACAGTTTTCGACAATTTGCAACCCGCGCACGTCGTGTTTGTCTGTGCCACAAATTGACGGAAACGAACCATGACGTAGGTGGAGAGCTGGCGGAGGTGCGAATGGCCCGAATTAGCATATGAATGCAGCAAAACCGCGGGTGGCCGAGCCGAGCGGGCTTGAATATCCTTACTCCTTATTGGAGGAAACCACAACTTACTAACAAATAAAATCACTCGTGATTGGCAGCAAAACCACACGTGGGCAGACCAGGCTTGAGTTTCCTTGTTCATGATTGGATGAAACCACAACTTTCGATCACTCGTGATTGGTTGGCAGATCTGTCGCTATTGGTCACCCGCCTCATTTGATTTATATATATATTTATATATTCATATTATGCTGTATATTAATTTCATGGTTATCCTATGTAGGCTACTACGCTATTATTAGGATACCAACCAGGACATCAATGAATTTATAGAGAAAATGAACATTTGCCGCATGTTTATGCAAAGAAAGAGCTTTATTAACAACATACAAACAACAACTACATACAAAGTGAGGATCTGCCCACACTTTGGTAACGGCGGTTTAAAAACTACAGCTCAGTAAACTGTCCGTTTGCCTCCTGGGGGTTGTAGACCGTCACTGGCGGCGTTTTTTCTGAGGCAGGTCTGTTGTGCAGGCGCCTAGTGTGTGTGGCGACCGTACAATCCACCCCGAGACCCCACCAACAACGCCATCCTCTCCGTCGGAAATCATCCGCGGATTTCCAGAGGTCCACCTCGTCATCAGCCAGCACACTTTGTCTCGACTCCGCGCTGAATCCTTCGCAGTTTCTGCCCGCAATGAGTGTTCCGGCTGAACCTGAAGCTCCTGCGTCCCGTCTCAAAATACGTCTTACAAGCCGCTGGAAAACAATTAAATGAGTGTGGTATGAATTAAAAAAATCAAACGCAAGTCACAGTAACATTTAACAAGGAAGGAGAAACAGTAAACCGTGTCACACACAATGACGTCTTTATCTAAATCGAAATCTGGACTTTTCCTGGAGCAAATACGAGGTCACCGCCTCATTATCGTGTTGATATCGGCAGTTGGTTGTTGGAGTTGACGAGACGATCCACTGAGAGCTTTCAGCAGCTTCTTCTCGTCTGTCTGCGGACTGGCTGAAAGTTGGTGACCGCGGAGAGGAGTTGAAGGCGAGTTGAACGCGAGACGTCGTCCAGCCTTCATTCACGAAGCAGCAAAAACCAATCAAAGGAACTGGAAATACAGTTCTTCTGAACGTAGTAACACACTGTTTGTATGCTCGTCTTGCAAGTACTGCTGTCTGAGTCATGCCTATAACCTCACACGTGATTGGACGCGTATCACATACAAGGTTATTGTTATACGGAAGGACCAGTATTTTAGGAAGACAAATGGTTGGGACTTTGTCGTGCAATGAAACAGCTAAAATGCTTTATGTAAAGCAGTGTTTTGGTGTCAGCAGAACGACTTTCCCTAGAAAACTGTAGAGTGGTGCCTCTTTCGTGTGGAAAGACTAACAGTTTTGAGGAACCTGTCCTTGACCCTCTAGCAGAACTACGACCAGCCATTATAAAGCAGTTTATAGTTGTTAATGTTGTGTCAAAGGGTACGGCATTTAAACATGTTCGTGCACAAGTTTCCTGGCTTCATCTCCACCCGGACAGACATTTATATGGAAAGCCAATAGAAGTTTGGGGCTTGCAGGGAACAGACACGTCATACAGCATCATTTCTGCCAGTTGAGCGCATTGCTAGAAGATGTGTGGTTAATACATCCTCTGTGCATTTAAGTAAGACCAAAGAAAAGGTCACTGTAGTCCTGCCACTATGCACTGTAGTTGAGCTCTAGGAGACTGATCTCTGCAGACCCCTCATGCTGATTCAAATGTTGTTTGCATGGAATGCTAATTTTACCTTGATTAAAACTTTTTTATAGAAGTTATTTTGTGTATCTTTTTTACATAACATTTGCCATTGCTAATGGCGTACACAGTAATCTAGCATATTTGAATTAAATAAATCAATTCAAGCTAAAATGAGTCTATAATTAGGCTACTGAGCCTGATCTATTTGTTCCAGAGATTTTCTTACCTTTTAAAAAAATGTCACCTGGGCTAAAACAGCCTCTGCAACCCTGAGTTGCATTTGTATAGCTCACAGCATTTCCATTTCCATGTCAAAGCCTCCCCTAGAATTAAGAGTAGGAGGGTCATGGGGGGACAACTGTTGCCAGCAAATTGCCGTGAACAGCCCAAACCTGTTTGGCGGTGTTTCCTGATAAGATCGTCCAGAGGAAGCATATAGAGGGTAAATAAAATCGGTCCAAGTACAGAACCTTGTGGGACTCCGTGACCAACATTGGTGGTCTTCGAGCGTGACGCGTCAGACGCGCTGTGGTTTAACGTCTTTTACGCGTCTGTGGTGCGCGTTCGCTTCTCCTGCAGCTTCAAATAATGCATTCATACACTGCACCTACACGCGTGATTCTCCTCTTTGATTCTATTTTAGCCTTCAGGGTTTATAGGAACCTGCAGTCGTGATGGTGGTGTGAGTATAGACCTGAACCACGGGACGACCATCCTGGCCTTCAAGTTCAAACATGTGGCTGTGGACTCCAGAGCCTCACCAGGCCGTTACTTGGGTAGACACGTTTTTATTTCTTATGCGTCATATCAAAGATGTGTGGAGCTTTGAAATGTAACCCAGAGGAACATGGAATCATACAAAGTAAATAAGGCAATAAGAGTAACTAAGCTCACAGAATGTCTTCTTTACACAAATGTGTCCCGCTCTGCAGCGTCCAACGACGTCAACAAGGTGATAGAGATCAACCCCTACCTGCTGGGCACCATGTCGGGCAGCGCTGCAGACTGCCAGTACTGGGAGAGACTCCTGGCCAAAGAATGCAGGTCCGTCTGCAGTGGTTTGACCATCAATCTGTCCATTCTGACATGTAATGCTCTGTGTGTCTGTGTATTGATACTAAAATGTGTTCCATGCAGAGGTGAGTAAAGTATCTGGTCTGGGAAAGAAATCAGAGAACGCTCTGATCTTATTTAGTTGGTTTGAGTGGAGCAAAGAGGTTCAGTGGTTAGAAGGACTGAGACTTTAAACCCCACACGGGCCGCCTGAGGCCTCCATGTGTGTGTGAAGACATGAGTGCTGCATGTATTAAAACCAAATTATTTTAATATGATTTTAGCATTTTGTAATTTTATCATAAATGTGTTGCTCCTGTTCATTGTTGAGATTCAAATCAGACGCAGAGGTCCACTTGGACTCAAGGCCTAACAGATCACTGACCTGACAACAAAAACTTTAAACAAGTATCCAGAGCAAAAGATAACAACACACAAATGTGTAACGTGAAATGATGCAGTGGTGATATTTTGGACGGACATGCATGTAAAATGAAAGGTGACAGGTCGACCCTGGAAACAACCCTGATTGATGTTTCATTTGTTTGGTGACTTGGTCCCTCCAGGCTGTACAGGCTGAGGAGCAACCACAGGATCTCTGTGGCTGCTGCCTCCAAGCTGCTGTGCAACATAATGCTGGGCTACAGAGGCATGGGCCTCTCTATGGGAAGCATGATCTGTGGATCTCTGTGCCAAAACAAAGGAGAATCCTTTTTCTTCACTTCCTGTGAAGCAGAGCCTAGAAATAGAAACGTCCTCGCTTCCGTGACTCAGGAACAGCTGCTGTTGCAGCGGCTGGATAAAGGTGTGTAAGGACGACGTATCCGAGTTGATCCGCCGCTACAGGAAGGGAATGTTCTGAATGCTGAATACTTTTCTAAAAGTGATTTTGGAAATGATCCCACTGACGTCTCACAGCAGAGAAATGCTGTAGAAACGTTTCTTTCCTTACACATGAACCTGAACTCTACAGAACCAAACTGTCTCTAAGCTGCTGAGCTCATTGTTTGTTGTTTGTTCTTAGTGATGTAATGCAGGTTCTGTGTGTGTTGATCCTCACGTGCTTCTGTGTAGTAGTTTGTTCTTTGTTAACCAGACATGCTGTTAAAATACTTTCACCAAAACAACACACAGTCCCAAATAAAGCCTGTTGCTCAGCTCCCTGCTGTCCTGTAATGATTGACATGAACTAACCATGAGGACAAATGAGTCAGGTGGTCACATGTCGATGAAAATGGGAAGAATTCGATTTTAAAGAATGTAATCTCTTTCAGTTCTTTAGTCCATATTTCAATTACTTCATTTTAGATGCTTGGTGAGATGGTGACATCATTTTTGTTTTATTATGGTGTGAAATGTGACCAAAACATACAGGAAGTGTCAAATCTTTCCAGAACTAAACCTGTTGGAGGAAATGTTCTAAAGCTCTTGTGTTCCTGATAACTGGTTACAGTCTGACTATTAAATACATATTATTATTAAATGAACTGGGTCACATCACTTAAGGCAAATTGTTGCCGGATTCCAGTGAAACAGGTTTGTAAAAAAGAACTGAGGACAAAGCACAAGAACACACACGATGAACAAACATGAATCACATGTATGATTTCTTCTTCTGGATGCATACAGTCCCCTCAAAGTATTGGAACGGTAAGGCAAATTCCTTTATTTTTGTTGTTCACTGAAGACATTTGGGTTTAAGATCAAAAGATGAGTATGAGACAAGAGTTCAGAATTTCAGCTTTTATTTCCTGGTATGTGTTAAACAACTCTCGACATACCACCCTTTGTTTGAACCCACCCATTTTTCAAGTGAGCAAAAGTATTGGAACATGTGACTGACAGGTGTTTCTTGTTGCCCAGGTGTTGCCTTTTAGGTTGATTGTCCAAACATTAAATAGCTCTGCGTGACTAGTCTACGTTTTCAGCCTTGGTTCAAACCTAGCAAGACTGCATTGCCTGTTAAAGAGGATAAACAAACATGAAGACCAGAGATCTGTCTATGGGAGAAAAGCAAGCCGTTGTCAAGCTGAGAAAAGAAAAGTTGATCAGAGTCATTGGACAAACATTGGGCATAGCAAGCACAACAATTTGGAGTCTCCTGAAAAAGAAAGAAACCACTGGTGTGCTGAGTAACAGATGTCGAACAGGTCGGCCAAAGAAAACAACAGAAGTTGATGACAGAAGTATCGTGAGAGCTGTGAAGAAAACCCCCAAAACATCAGTAAGTGACATCCCCAACGACCTCCACACACTGAAAAAAGGGGGAAATGGGGGTTGTTCACTTAACAAATGAACAGTTCGTATACATAACACAATTGATTTATGTTCCTCCTCTAAACATATGTAAATTGTGTAGAATTCTTGTAATCTTCAGGGATGTTTAATTTTTAAGTTTCAGTCATGTTATAAAGAAAGGAAGTTGTTATGTTTCATCTGGAAACTCCGCCCATTAGGAGCAGGTTTTTTAAGGGAAAACTTTGTGCGCCATTTCTTCAATCCAGTCGGAGGAATTCATCCGTCTGGACCATAAAAGTCTGGACAGCTCTTCACACGGTAAAGTTAATAACACTGTATCATTTATTAATCAAAGACAGACGTAGTCGCACAATTTTGACTAAGCAGAGGTTTTTATCTGCCAGTATAACATCGAGCAGGAATTAGTTTTAATAAGGAGGAGAATTAATAAGTTGGGTTATCAGAATAATTTAATACAATTAACATTAATAAAATATTTTGAATTTACATGAGAAAATCATGTTTGTTTTACAAATAAAAATTAAGTATATTAAATAGAAATGAATCATTTTGACTAAACATATAATATGTGCAACCGATGTACATATTTTTTTCATGTAAATTCAAAAGACTTTGACTTTTTTTCAGTGTCAGTGCAGGGGCGAAGGTATCACAATCCACTGTTCGAAGAAGACTCAGAGCAGAAATATAGAGGCCACACCACAAGATGCAAACCACTCATCAGCAGTAAGAATCGGAAGGCCAGATTGGAATTTGCAAAGAAGTACAGAGATGAGCCGCAAAAGTTCTGGAACACATAACAATCTTATGGACTGATGAGACCAAGATTAATCTCTACCAAAGTGATGGAAAGGCCAAAGTGAGATAGGAATGCTTATGATCCGAAGCATATAAGCTCATCTGTGAAGCATGGTGGAGGTAATGTCATTGCTTGGGCGTGCATGGCTGCTTCTGGAACAGGCTCATTGATATTTATTGATGATGGTAGCAGCAGAATGAATTCAGAAGTGTAAAGAAACATTTTGTCTGTCAATTTACAGAGAAATGCATTGAAACTTATCGGGAGGAAGTTTATCATGCAGCAGGACAATGACCCAAAGCACACTGCCAACAAAACAAAGGACTTCATCAGGGAGAAAAAGTGGAAGGTTTTAGACTGGCCAAGTCAATCACCTGGGGCCGGTATTTCAAAACTTGTAATCCAGATCAGAATGATCCGGATAACCAAATCCCCCTGTCCTCAGCCACGGATCAACTTCATCTATCTAACTTCATCTATCCCGGTATTTCAAAACTTTGCCGGATTGGATCAGAGTGATCCTGATACCGGCAGATTGGGATGTCCAAATCTGTCCCGCCCCCTGGATCACTGGCAGGAAACATGAAATGGAGCGAATATGTTACAGAAAAAAGGAGAAGCTGGAACAACTATTGTCTCTAAATGTAAATATAGTCTTGGTCAGTGTTGATGCGTCCTAAGACTAGATGAAAGGCAATCATTATATTGAGTTAACCAGCTACGTAAATCAGCACAGTTGAAAGAAGAGCTCGGCGATCTCAAATAAAGCAGAGTTCGCGCTAATGCGAGCTAACGCTGCTCCAATGACTTCTATGTTAAGGAGCTAACAAGTTGGTAAATAAGCCAGCGTCTGTATGTCACGGTCCACAGTCCACATTTGAATGCATTTACTTGCAATGCATTGTGTGTAGATTTTAAAATGTGTTGTACATATCTGTTTAGGAAACAGTTATCAACTAAAGGGACAGCTCTAAAACCTTAATATTTGCTTTTCTTTACAGATGTCTGTGGAAAGAGAAGACAGCCAGTTAACACACACCTGCTCCAAATGGCATAACCTTTTGAGCTTTGGCTATGGAAATTAAGTGTGTGTGCTGCATGCATGTTAATAAATACATTTGACTGGTTTGAGTGGAGGCCTTTATCAGTGGGTATAACTTAACGTGACTGTTGCTTAAATAAGGCATTCATATTCAAACTTAAACATAGAAATAGCAGTGAAGCGTAGCTACTGTATCAAACAAAGAACTTTGGGAGCAGTTACACTTAAACTGTTCAAACCATAACATGTAATCTCCCTCAAATCCACCTCCTAGGTGGGATGAGGGTAATCCTGATTTTTAGGATCAAACTGATCCAGATTTCCCACTAAAGTTTTGAAATACTCAACAGCAGTGTTTTATCCGGATCAAAGGCAGGATTGGATTACCAAATCTGAATCTGAATCTTCAGGATCAGATTTGCTTTGAAATACCCGTTTTTAGGATCTGATCAGGATTTAATCCAACCCAGGAGGATTAATCCTGTGGGATCATTTTGAAATACCGGCCCCAGGACGCATCAACACTGACCAAGACTATACGTACATTTAGAGACAATAGTTGTTCCAGCTTCTCCTTTTTTCTGTAACATATTCGCTCCATTTCCTGTTTCCTGCCAGTGATCCAGGGGGCGGGACGGATTTGGACATCCCAATCTGCCGGTATCAGGATCACTCTGATCCAATCCGGCAAAGTCTTGGAATACCGGGATAGATCAAGTTGATCCGTGGCTGAGGACAGGGGGATTTGGTTATCCGGATCGTTCTTCTTCTTCTGGTTTTGATTGGCGGTTGGCAACCAACTTTTCCCGAATCATTCTGATCTGGGTTACAAGTTTTGAAATACCGGCCCCTGACCTTAACCCAATAGAGCATGCATTTCACCTCCTTAAGAGGAGACTGAAGGGAGAAACACCCAGAAACAAACAAGAAGTAAAAGAAGCTGCGGTAAAGAAAATCATACAGGAGAGAGAGCACGTTGGAAAAACTTAAATAATGTTTGGTCTTAGTCACAGTAGTTGAAGCATTGTTGCTTTAGAACGCCACAAATGTGAGTGTGTGACCTCCCAGCAGAGAAGCCTGGATGAGTAACTAGTGTGTGTTATCTCAACCAGACGGAGACGCAGACCTTGGAGAAGCCTTGACGCATGTCTCATGTGTACATGTCATGAATTGGGAGACCAAGACGCAGACCTTCCACCTTCATGCATAACGTGTGTGTGTTGTCTCAAGTATATAAATCAGAGGGCTGAGACGCAGACCTCCGAGCAGCAACTCAACACACGACTTGTTTCAACTCTGCTCCGACTTGCTAGTGTTCTTTAATAAATGTCCTGTTCAATGATTTTACACACGTGTTGATTAGGACGGTCTTAATCAATGCGTCTCATGGTTTCTTGTTTAATGGAAAGTAAAACCCTCTTCAGATATCTGTGAAGAATCACTGCTTTGCCCCTAAAATGTTCACTCTTCTTGCTCTTTTGTTGGACGTCTGCAGGTCAAAGACTCGTCCATTTATCCTCAGAGACAACAGAGAACACTGAATATTCAGATCATTGTAGATACTACGACGTAAAAGTAATAAGTAAAATAATTGAGAAAGTTGTCCTACAACAACTTAATCACTTCCTGGCTTCAACTGGCTGCCACGACAACTTCCAGTCAGGATTTCGACCTCTTCATAGCACCGAGACGGCCCTTATTAAAGTAGTAAATGACATCCGTCTTAACACAAACTCTGGCAAAACTTCAATATTAATGCTATTAGACCTCAGTGCTGCATTTGATACGGTCGACCACTCAATACTTTTGGACAGGTTGGAAAACTGGGTGGGGCTCTCAGGCACAGTCTTAAGCTGGTTCAGGTCATATCTACAAGACAGGAACTATTTTGTTTCCATTGGTGACTTCGTATCAGAAACAACCGACGTAACGTGTGGAGTTCCCCAAGGTTCGATCTTAGGGCCGACTTTATTCAACATCTACATGCTCCCACTAGGACAAATCATGCAAAGAAATAAAATTGACCACCATTGCTACGCTGATGACACCCAAATCTATGTAGCGCTATCACCAAACGACTATCGCCCCATAGATCTTCTGTGCCAGTGCATTGAGCAAATCAAAGACTGGATGTGTCAAAAACTAAATGAAGACAAAACTGAGATCATTGTATTTGGTGCTAAAAAAGAAAGGTTTAAAGTAACCCAACACCTTCACTCTCTGTCCTTGAAAACATCAAATAAAGCCAGAAATCTGGGGGTTATTATGGATTCAGATTTACACTTGGAGAGTCACATCAAATCAGTAACAAAATCGGCCTACTACCACCTCAAAAATGTAGCACGACTTAGAGGGCTCATGTCAGCTCAAGACTTAGAAACACTTGTACATGCCTTTATAACTAGTAGGCTAGACTATTGTAATGGTCGCCTTGCAGTTCTTCCAAAAAAAACTGTCAGGCAGCTCCAGCTTGTTCAGAACGCTGCTGCTAGAGTTCTAACAAAGACCAAAAAATGTGAGCAATTACACCAATTCTTAAATCCTTACATTGGCTCCCAGTATGTCAGAGAATTAATTTCAAAATCCTACTGCTCACATATAAATCACTACATGGTTTAGGACCAAAGTATATCACTGAGATGCTTCCACTACATAAGCCTTCAAGATCACTAAGATCTTCTGACACCAATCTGTTAGTGATTCCCAGAGTAAATACAAATAATGGGAAAGCATCATTTAGTTACTACGCAACAAACAGCTGGAATAAACTTCCTGAAGATTTAAGACTTGCCCCAACTCTGACCACGTTTAAAACAAGACTGAAAACTTTCATGTTCAGCTTCGCCTTCTGCTAAATTTGACCTACATTGCACTTTTAACCTGCTTTTAATTAAACAATTTAAACAAGATTTTAATTTATAATTTTATTTGCTGTTTTTAATTGTCTTTTAATTCCTGCATTTTATTTCACTTTATTGTATGAAATGTTATAATGTGAAGCACTTTGAGTCTGCCTTGTGTATGAAAAGTGCTATACAAATAAAATTGCCTTGCCTTGCCTACGACCACAACATGTGCTGATAAGACGCAGGATTTACAAATGTTATTTTGTTACGATAAAATGATCTCAGGCGATGTGAGTCTTCCATTTGCAGCAACTCCCAGCATGCTTTAAACCAGTGAAGTGAAGAACACGACGTTTAGAGTGCAAAGGGAAACAACATGCATGTGATTGTGGCTGCAGTCACAGAGGGGAAGCACATGGAATCACAACAACACACAAACATCTGGAGCGTTTATTGAACAGCAGGACAAAGGTACAAAAAGGGGAAATGGAGCAACTTCATTCCACCTTCATCTACAAAACAAGAAGTGATTCAGAGCATCACTGTTCAACTCCCACGAAACCAAGAAGGAAAACATCCCTTCATCCGAAACAGCAGCAAGAAATAGTCAATAACATTTCAATCAGTGTGCTCGGATGATTCAAACCCAAATTTAAATAATATGATACTTTAAAACGGATCAAAAGACGTTATGAACCAATAAACATACTGATTTATTCAGAAAACCCTGAAATTATTATTTTCTTCAACCTGTTAAATTCTGTCTACTGCAAAGAAAAATACAAGCAAACTATTTACACAATCAGAAAATAAATGTCTATATTTCGTTTGTGTGTGTGTGTGAGTGTTTACACGTTTGTTACCAACAATGATTCAACCCAAACAGCAGAAGTATCAAAGAGTAAATATGGTGGATTTGTTTTTTTAGATGAACACACTAGTCTGTGAGCACTTTGATGCTTTCATTGATTTGAACGTCTCCTAAAATAATCATCCTCGTTTTATTTCATTTCAACCTTTTTATTAAAACCAAACTACCCAAATAATTAAATGTGACTATTGATGTTTCCTCACAGTTTCCAGATGTTCACCAACCCTGATTCAGACGTTTAAATGAAAAATGAATGAGCCATAAATTGACAGTTTATGGAGAAGAATGTGGAGCATCGCTTGTTGATCCAGAGCAATATTCACCCATAAACCTAAAGAGAGAAACAAATACATAAAAGAGAAAACTAAATCATTTACCACAAACTACTTTGACTCCATTTTGATAAACATGTGTTAGTGAGTTCCTAGAAGTTAATGTAAGAGCTTTGAATATCAGACTTTATCTGAGGAGCTGATGTGAAGCTTTCTGTGTCTTTCTCTTAATAATCTCACGTCTCACGGAACCAAACTGCACCTTTGTTGTAGAAAAAGTCAAAGACTTCTTTACATGAGAAGCTCCTTGTGCTCATACTGAGGGCAGCTTTGTGGAACAGCAGCTGTGAATAGTTCATGTCCACGTGGAGCTACTCACTGTGTGCAGGACGCCGACTTCAAGGTTTAGGGTTCAGTTCCTCAGAGAGCTCAGAGCCGTCAGTAGAAGCAGAAGAAGAAGAAGAGCGTTGGGCTGAAATAGAAAGAAAGAAAAAATAAAAAGAATTTTAGCTTCCTCCCAGCAGATACAATCTCAGTTTTTTAACCTATTTCTTCCTCTAAAAGCTAAAATGACTTTCAACAACAGCCTGAAGAATGTGTAGAAACAATTAACTACGTTTAAGTGTCTCAAGTGCAAAACAATCACATAATTGTCTAAAAGTAAAATGGCACTAAACAATAAATGCAGAATTAAAGCAAATATGATTTTATAAGTGTGACTGGTGAAAGTTGCTTCAGTGTCTCATTCTGGATAAAAGCATCAACTCAAAGCCTAAAATCAAATGCTCCTCAACACTGTGTCTCTGATCGTCTCTCTCACCGTTCCTCTTTCTGTAAACCTTGAATCCAACCACAGCAGCGATGATGACGACAAGAACAGCCACAGCGATGATGATGATGATGAAGGTGGAGTCAGCAGGCTTCTCTGTGGAGCACAAAACAATCAAAGCGTCTCAAGCTGAACAGATGAAGCAGGTCAGAAGAGAAGAAGATCCACTTATCCAGCAGACCTGAACACACACACCATGTGACGTCATTTCTTTATGCCGTCTGCACATGATGACTGAGACACATATTCAACCTCCTTCCTGAACTTTGCTCTGTCTGGTTCACTGATGGATACATGTATTAATACACGTGTTTAATCATTCTGTCTACTCATCTTTAAGTGACCAGTAGTTGTGTGAATGCAGATTCTACAACGTCTGAATTGTGGTGACACGTTACAATAGTTCAGCACGGACTCAAATAAAGCTCTTACCTGGAAGGAGTTTACAAAAGGATGAATAAACTTATTTACAGAGAAATTAACCAAATATTGACACATTTATATATTAATCTAGACCAGTAAACAGTGTTCATAACTCTCGCTGTGTTTAATTCTGATCCGAGTCTTAAAATGACTACAAATAAAAACTAGACTAGAAATGTAAGAAAACAAAACTTCCCAAATCTAAAACACACAAAGTGAACAAAGTGGATGTTTGCTTCCCTCCTTCACCGCTCCGGGTCTCAGACCTACCTGTGTTGGTCCTGGTCTTGTCCAGTTTGGTGACGATGTCCTCGTCCACACCAGACAGCTGGAACACACAGTCGTACCTCCTCCAGTCTTCAGCAGGGACGGAGGACAGGTTCAGGTCAACCCTCATCTGGAAGGTCCCGTCGTGGTTGGGGAGGATCTCTCCGAGGTCCACGTCCTCATAGAGCTCCTCTCCATCTTTCCTCCAGAAGAGGGCGGCTCTGTCGGGGTAGAAACCTGTAGCGTGGCAGCTGACTGGAGAGGAGGGAGTCTTCTGGAGGAGAGACACCGAGGGACGCTCTGGAGACAGAAGAGAGGGACAGGTTACATCTTTATTATTATCACTGATATTTAGTGTATTAATATCATTCATCTTTGATGTATTTAAAATGCCTCTTTAACACTCAACTATGTGTATTTAAGTTTACTAAAAGAATGAAATGTCTTTAAAGTTTCATTGATTAAAGAAGGGAGACAAACAGATGAAGAGGGGTGAGTCGGATTGGAAGGGGAGGAGGACAGTGTGTGTGAGAGAGTAAAGAGACAGTGAGACGGACAGAAACACAGCAGAGACAAAGAGGATGGAGGGACAGAGTGGGGACAGGTGTGAGGGGGGGAGTGAGGGAGGGAGTGCAGTGAAGGAGAGAAGGAGGTGAGGGGGGAGAAATGTGGGAGATCCTACCGGTTCTCATCAGAGAGCTCCTCCCGTAGCTCAAGTACTTCTTCAGCCACTCACGACACGTCTGAGTCAGGACAAACTTCCTCCCTGCTATATCAGCTCTGTCCTGATCCCACTTCTGTTTGATACGGACAGCCTGCTGTTTTGCAGCGATCCATTGCTCTGTCTGCAGGTCAAATGATATGAAGTCTTCTCCATTATAACTGTACTGAGCATAACCCTTGAACTCATTGGTCTCATCATCCCATTCACAGCCGGCCATCTTCTGGTTAATGTGGACACCTGAGAGAGAGAGAGAGAGAGAGAGAGATTTTTTAGATTTCAACAACTTTGTCAATGTGTTAAAGGTCAGATTTCCTTCCTTTGTTAAAAAAAACAAGACAAAGCAACAACAAAACAAAACAAACAAAGCAAAATTATATTTCATGCCATAAAAACGGGAGCAAACACCAATTCATTCTTTTCCACTGAGCACACAACATTATTAAAACACCAACGTTGTTTAAAAGTGTCTACGTCCCCAATGTGTTTATAAAAGCGGAACTCTAGCCAGAGCCTGGCCCTGATGTTCACCAGCCACACTGCTCTGGCCTCCTGCCCCTCTCTGTCCTTCACTCTGGCCTTCCTGCTTAAATAAATGGCCATTTTGGCTACCCCTGAAAGATAGTTGAGGAGCTGCCATTTTTCTTTTTCTGCTTTTTTGTAGGCAGCTCCCATGATAAAAATCTTTTCAGTAAAAACCACATTAAAAAGACTAAAAACCGATGTTAAAAGAGAGAAGAAACTCGCAAGTCTCTTGCACTCTGTAAAAACATGATAAATAGTCTCTCGGCGGTCACAGAAGGGGCATTTGCTCAGAACAGTGGGATTAATAACAGAAATAAAAGCGTTGGAGGCGACAGCACCGTGTAAAATTCTCCACTGGAGGTCGGCAGTCCGTTTCTTGAGGGGAGGTTTGTATAAAATCCTCCACTGTGGGCCCGGTCCATTTTGTCCCAGTCTGTTGGACCACACAGTGGGGAGCCTGTCGCACAGTCCGGACCGGTTTATGCCCTTCACACAGTTAAAATACAGAGTCTTCTTGTCTGCTTCGTGCAATGTCAGCGCTTCGGGGCGTGTCGTGGCGAGCAGAGGGCCGGTGAGTTCCCCTAGTCCTGGGCTCAGGTAGATCTCGGGGAAGGGGTCTGCAGGGTCCGGCTCCACATCTTTCTGGCTGTAGTCTGTGAGGTGGCTCCTTTCCTCCTCAGTCAGCCTCTGGTTCCACAGCTCCAGGAGCCTCCTCGCCATCCGGACGGAGTGCAGCCCCAGCAGAGAGCCCAGGGCCGGGGCGTCGCTCAGCGTCGGCCCCACTGCGTCCACCAGCTGCTGCAGGCACAGGACTCGTGCTTTCAGCAGCGCCCCCATCAGGCCTGGGGTACCACTGCTGCTGATGTCCAGCCTTGCTCTGTAGATCAAAGGTTCTCTCAACAACCAGTACAGAGAGAAAGACTGTGGGCACCTTTTATGATTAAAAAGGGCCCAAGACTTAAAAACACCCCGATAAAACGGAGGTAGCCCATTTAACTTTAAAAATGTAGAATCAATTAAAAACAGAGCAGTATCCAGCCCCAGGTTGTTTGCACGTCTAAAAATGCAGCTGGCCACGTCCCTCCATACTAAAAACTCCGGACCTGTGAGATATTTCTGTAAAAACTGGAGTCTAAAAGTGGTCGTCCGGCTGGCCAGGTGGACGAGGCCCTGTCCCCCCTCCTCTCTGGGTAAAAACAGCACCCCTTGTGGCACCCAGTGTAGACCCCCCCAAAAGAAATCCACCATTTTCTTCTGTAAGTTGGCAAGGAAGCCTGAGGGAGGGTCTAGGCAGGTAAGACGGTGCCACAGCTGGGATGCAATCAGGTTGTTTAAAACCAAAACTCTACCTTTAAAAGACATTTGAGGGAGCAGCCATTTCCATTTGGAAAGTTTCCCCTCTATCTTCTCTGTGACGCCCTCCCAGTTCTTCTGGACGATGCTCTCTTGTCCCAGATAAATCCCCAGGTATTTAAAGCCATCTTTCCTCCTCTTTTTTGGGGAAGAACTGGGAGGCCGCCACGCCATTCACCGACAGCGAGGGCTTCACTTTTTTTCCAGTTCACCCTCGCTGCCGATGCCTTACTAAAACTTTTCACGATGTTATTTAAAAGGTCTGCATCCCTCTGGTCTTTAATAAAAACAACAACATCGTCGGCATACGCCGATAAAATCATTCTTCTACTAAAACCAGGTAAAACCAGGCCCTCCAGGCTAGAGCGTATTTTGCCGAGAAGGGGTTCCAGGGAGAGTGTATAGAGCATCCCGGACAGAGCACAACCCTGCCGGACTCCTCTATACACTCTAAAAGGAGCACACAGACTACCGTTTATCTTCAGCACACTCTCAACCTCGCTGTACAACACTTTAATCTTAGCTATGAAACCAGCGCTGAACCCAAACCTCCCCATGACCTTCCAGAGGAAGCTGTGCTCAACGCGGTCAAAAGCTTTTTCCTGGTCTAGGGAAATCAGACCAGTATTAATGCCTAACGAGCTGGCGACCTCCAAAACATCACGAATGAGGTAGACATTGTCTACCATGGACCTGCCGGGCACACAGTAGGTCTGGTCCCGATGGATGACCTGCTCCATAGCTTCCCTCAGCCTGGAGGCAAAGACCCTGGACAGAAGCTTGTAATCCACACACAGTAGAGACACAGGGCGCCAGTTGCCGATGTCCTGCAGGTTCCCCTTCTTCGGCAGTAGCGATATGACCGCTCTGCGGCAGGACATTGGCATGGAACCAGAGGCCAGACTCTCGTTAAAAACCTCCAGGACATCAGGTGCAAATATGTCCCAGAATGCCTTAAAAAATTCTGCGGAGAGGCCGTCGATGCCAGGAGCACGCCGTCCCTGCATGCCCTGCAAGGCGGCCTTCAGCTCCTGCACCGTTATGGGTTTGTTGAGCGCTTTGTTGGTCTCTTCAGAGACTTGAGGTAGCCCGCTCACGAACTCCTCCGTCAGTGCTTCCTCCTCCCTGTACTCACTGGTGTAGAGGGAGGAGTAAAAGCTGACCGCTCGCCTCCTAATCTGGCATGGTTCCACCACCGGCAACCCTGTGTCTGCCAACAGCGTGTGGATCACCCTCCCCTGCCCACTCTTCCTCTCCAGGCCGAAGAAAAAACTAGAGGGAGTGTCCATCTCCGTGATGGTCTGGAATCGGGACCTGACCAGTGCACCCTGAGCTTTAACGTCTAACAGGTCGGCCAGAGCCATTTTTTTGATCTTGAGGATTTCAAAATGTCCTCGCTCTCCTGTGGACTCGTTTAAACGCTCTAGTTCCACTATATCAGTCTCCAGGTCCTTCATAGATCTGGTGATGTCTCTGGTCACGTTGAGAGTGTGATGCTGACAAAGAAGCCTAATCTCAATCTTACCGCGGTCCCACCACTGCCTAAGACTACTAAAATCACTCTTCCTCAGCCTAAAAACACTCCAAAAATATGAAAGCACCGCTCTAAAATTCCTATCAAATGTTAAACCGGAGTTAAAATGCCAGTACGCGCTTTTTGGCAAAATGTTCCTAATAAAAACATTACACACTAGCAAGGAATGATCTGAAAAAACAGCCGGTACAATGGTACACATTTTGAAAATATTAAAATGGTGCTTAAAAACATAAAACCGGTCAAGCCTGGCTGAGGAGATTCTACCTTCTCTGAGGTGGGACCACGTGTACATCCACCAGGCCATGAGACCGGACCAGCTGCCTCAGAGCGTGCTGGGAAGCTGGATGTGGCTCTGCGCGGTTGAGGTCTATGGCCGCATCTTCTGTGCAGTTAAAATCCCCCCCCCAAGAATGAAAAATCCTCCGGGGCACAGCCATCTAAAAGATCATTAACTTTTGTTAAAAAAAGCTTCCTCTCTGTACCGATTGTTGGAGCATACACATTGATAAAAACAACAGTAAAAAGGTCGAACCGTGCCTTGACTAAAAACAACCTCCCCTCGATGATGTGTTTGACCTCCAGGGAGATTGGCTTAAAAGACCTGGAGAAAAGGAAGCCCACTCCTCCACTGAGGTTGGTGTTGTGGCTCAGCAGGACTTCCCCTTCCCACTCCCTCCTCCAGTCGGCCTCGTTGGTGCTGTCGCTGTGCGTCTCTTGCACGAAGAGAACATCAAGACGTTTTATTTTTTTAAATTCATAAATAGATGCCCTCTTCTTGGCATCTCTGGCTCCGTTCACATTCAGGCTTCCCACTTTTAAAGTATCCATGATAAAAATAAATAAAAATAAAACCAATTAAAACACACATTGGGGCTTTTCTCGTGATCATCGATTGCTCGTTTTGCTTTTAGCACAATTTTTTTTAGTCTAAAACCCTCTTGATCTGTGAAGCCAGACTCCTCTCGCTGGCTCATGCGGAGTCTGGCTGAGTTATAAAAACACACCAGGTCTGGGAAAAACTCCTTGATTTCAGATTCCTCCTATTTTTGACTCTCTGTAGAAACATTTTTGATTTGCTCTGCCGGAGTAGAGCTTTTTCCCGGTG